GAAAATCCATTAACATCATCCACCACATCAACAAAAAGAAGGACAAAAACCACAAGATCATCTCCATAGGTGCTGAAAAAGCGTTCGACAAAATTCAACATTCAATCATGATAAAAACTCTCAACAAAATGGGTACAGAGGGCAAGTACCTCAACACAATAAAGGCTATATATGACAAACCCACAGCCAACATCATACTTAACAGCGAGAAGCTGAAAACTTTTCCTCTAAGATCAGGAACAAGACAGGGATGCCCACTCTCCCCACTGTTATTCAACATAGTACTGGAGGTCCTAGCCACAGCAATCAGACAACACAAAGAAATACAAGGCATCCAGATTGGTAAAGGAGAGGTTAAACTGTCACTATTTGCAGATGACATGATATTGTACATAAAAAACCCTAAAGGCTCCACTGAAAAACTACTAGAACTAATATCTGAATTCAGCAAAGTTGCAGGATACAAAATTAATACACAGAAATCTGTTGCTCTCCTATGCATTAGTGATGAACTAGCAGAAAGAGAAATCAGGAAAACAATTCCATTCACAACTGCATCAAAAAGAATAAAATACCTAGGAATAAATCTAACCAAGGAAGTGGAAGACCTATACCCTAAAAACTACTAAACTGTCCTAAGAGAAATTAAAGAGGACACTAACAAATGGAAATTCATCCCATGCTCTTGGCTAGGAAGAATTGATATTGTCAAAATGGCCATCCTGCCTGAAGCAATGTACAGATTCAATGCAATCCCTATCAAAATACCAACAGCATTCTTCAATGAACTGGAACAAATAGTTCTAAAATTCATATGGGACCATAAAAGATCCTGAATAGTCAAAGCAATCCCGAGAAAGAAGAATAAAGCAGTGGGGATCACACTTACCCACTTCAAGCTATACTACAAAGCCACAGTAATAAAGACAATTTGGTACGGGCACAAGAACAGACCCACAGACCAGTGGAAAAGAATAGAGAGTCCAGATATTAAGCCAACCATATATGGCCAATTAATATATGATAAAGGAGCCATGGATATACAATAGGGAAATGACAGCCTCTTCAACAGCTGGTGTTGGCAAAACTGGACAGCTACATGTAAGAGAATGAAACTGGATCATTGTGTAACCCTATACACAAAAGTAAATTCAAAATGGATCAAACACCTGAATGTAAGTCATGAAACCATAAAACTCTTAGAAAAAAACATAGGCAAAAATCTCTTGGACATAAACAT